CCCCTCACTCCCCCTCCCTCCCTCCTCCTCCTTCCCTCCTCCCCTTCCTTCCTCCCCTCTCCCTCATCCCTTTCCCCCCTCCCTCATCACCTCCTCCTCCTCCTCCTCCTCCTCCTCTACCCACCTTCACGTCGTCGACGTCTCAAAGAGTCTCCAGCACTAGCATCCCCTCCCGCCTCCTTGTCTGTGCCGCTGGTGCCATTGGCTTTGATGGTTGTGGTTGGGGTCGTGGTGGGGGTCGTGGTTGGGGTTGTTGTAGGGGCGGGGGTGGTAGTGGGGGTTGTGGTAGGGGTGGTAGTCGGGGTGGTGGTGGCGGCAGTTGTGGTCTGGTTTGTGCACTGGGTGTCCCACGTCTTGTAGTACCCGGGAGAACACCCGTCAGTGCAGACAGACTGACAAGACGGACAGTCGGACAAACAGCATTCACTGCACCACTGAGGAGAAAGAAGGAAAAAATCTTGTCAAAATTGTTTTAGTAAGGTTTTAAGGCGCTCGCAACTGCATAAGGTCATATGATCGCTAAGGGGTGGACGTCAACAGTGAAGTCCAAACGGGGAACTCTGGTCACCTCTCTTGCCTCAACAGTACAAAGCCTGCTTTGACTATCAAGGCACCCCGTTCACAAAAGAGTGACAAACAAACAAGAGAGGTAGAGGAAAAAAGGACGATAATAAGGATGAGGAAAGAAAAAGCAGCAGTTCCCCCTATGATGTTCCGGCACAGTATGAGCATGACATTGATAAATTAGCCCACTTACAATTTTACTGTGCTTAAGAACAGGTTAATATCCCAGCTTAGGGAACGGCCTAAAGACAACTTCAGTCAGTAGCACTGCCCTGGTGGGGGGTCCGAAACATCAAGTTGAATGTTCATAGTATAGCGTACATATGGTTGCCCGCCTTTTCAAGTTTCCGACAAATAAACCAGAATTAACGGCACTTGCAACATGTAAATGAAGGGGGAAAAGCTGTATTAATATCAAAGTTACGCTTTCTTTTATAAATGTAATGTACGCAGTGCCTGAAACAGAGCGTCCTCATGCGTGCGAAATAAGCTTTGTTTAAGATTTAGTAGGAATTTTACGGCACTTGCAACTCATTAAGGTCATATAAGTACCGAAGATAAGAGGTGTTACACCAGTTTAAAAAAATAAACACAAAAAAGAAGGAGGGGAGAAAAGGACAATAGTCGTTTGATAGGATAGAAGGAGAAAACTTCACCCAAACTGCAACTGCCAACCACCAACGCAAAATAAGCGTTCGGAACAAGTTAACGGACACTCCAATATCTCTGTCAGTCTTCTTGGATCTCGTACCTCAACCAGCCCACATTGGCCTTCAAAAGCTGGATGAAGCTGCCCGCCTCCCAAAAAGTTCTAGATTACAAAACTGCAAAGAACATTCGCACAAATATTGTGGTGTCGGTGGCCTAGTGGTTAGGCTACCGGACTCGTAATTGTCGGGTTGCGGGTTCGGGGGTTCGAACCGTGGGTCCGACGTTGTCCTTGAGAAAGGCACTTTAAACGAATTTTCCTCACTTCACCCAGGTGGGAATGGGTACACGGCCATAGACAGCGAAAGATCTTATCAGTATTTTAGTGTTTTTTTAGGGCCTATAAATGGCCGCTTGCACTGTATGCTTCCGAGTAAGTTGAGGTTGCTACAGAATGTTCTCAGGAGAGCTGGGGTAATAGCAAGTTATTGGTAATAGTATGGATTGTGAAGCGCATAGAGCTGTCAGTTGAGCGGGAGTTGCGCTATACAAACTATGCTATCTATCTATCTATCTATCTATCTATCTATCTATCTATCTATCTATCTATCTATCTATCTATCTATCTATCTATCTATCTATCGATCTAT